AAACAAAAACCAAAAAACCAAAAATTTTTTTTTTGGGAAAATTTTTTTTTTTTTTTTTTTTAAATAAAATGGAGAACATAAACAGGGTTCATCTTAGTGGAGACTATTTCAGTGATATAAGTCAGCATTAAAAAAAGCAAAAGGGGAAAATGTAAAAGAAAAACTAAAGAACTGTAAACTGAGCTGATTGAGAGGATCATATGGAGCAAGGAGGAAAAAAAAACAAATGGAATTTGATGTTTTATGGGATGCCAGAACTATTTAGGATTCGTCAGCTCCTACTGAGGCATCTCTAAAAATCAAGGTATTTATTTAAGTGTCTAAAAATGGATTTAGACACCTGCCTTTAGGCTCCAAAGTTTGAAAAATGCTAGTCTTTGGTTAATGCTAATATTACAATAAAACTAGTAGCAGTTTGCTTCTTGCCAAAATGAATTTAAACTAAAGGCAACTAGACAGGTGGCTGTAGTAATTAGTAAGTTGATTAGGAAACTGAACTGTCCTAAAAAAACCATGGAGGGGGATGCGTAACAGGATCAGCGCACAGCAACTTGTTTCAGCAGTCTACCGCTACAGTATCACAAAACTCCTAAATATGATATTATATGCATATGAATTATAGTTATCAAACTCAGCCTGAACACTAAGGAACAGAATTTTCAGGCACCTAAGTTTGTCAATTAACCCATTCAGTACTAAATGATCTGTCAAATATTCAGTAAGTCCTAAGAAGATTGATACTACCCTTGCCTGTACAAGAAACTTTAGAGCATGGATTGTGTTTCTTTGTTCCACCATTACTTCCAGATAGAACATTCTAAACTACAGTAAACACAACGGGTTTAAAATAAAACAGTAAAATCCATTTAGGTTCCAACAACTCTTAAACTATAGCTGTCCTAATTAAATAAATCCCAATTTCATCAAAAACAACAAATACCTTTTATATTAAAAGAGTAACTGCTCTTCTAAACAAAATCAAAACTTCAGCACTGGTGAGCCCTTGACTAGATGACAAGAATATAAATCTCAGTAAAATTACTGTTTGTCAATGCTTACAGAAGATTAAGTGCCTGAGTTTAAACAATGGCCCATTTATGCCCACCTGATTACCCTTTATACTGCAGCAGTGGTGGCAATGAACCTTAGTGTAAATGAGAATCAGACCTGGTGTTCTGGACATTGTATCTATTACTTAGACACAAGACAGGAAAAGAGTCCAGGCTTTACCCTAACGTCCACTCAGCCAGCCGCTCCCCTGATCTGAAGAACCTGTCCCTAGAGCAGTGATTCTCAACCTGGGTGTCGCAAGTTCCTTTGAAGGGTGCCAGACACAGATGAATCACAAGAGAAACCCAAAATTTTAAAATAGGAATAGTGTCAAAAATGCTCTGACCTGTTGCAGAGTTTGAGGTCTCTACAACAGAAAAATTGTTCTATTATTTTTTCATAGTCAAAAGAAGAAAAAAAAACAAGTGAAAGCACATCTGGCATTTTCCAGAGTTGCCTTTAATTTAATGAGGTTGAGAACCACTGACCTAAAGGCACAGGCACAGCTCAATCACTGCCTGTTCAGTCATTGCTCTTCCTGCTGATGCTATCAGCCCAATCAAACCAGTGTTAATTGGAAAGTGGGTACCAGTCCAACAGAAACTGGACTGATGTCACTAACTTGCACTACTTCATATCTAAAAGAAGAAAATCACATTCAGCTACCAAAGCTGGACTAGATTTAGACCACGTGTACAGGTATTATATAAACATCAACAGATAAGAAAAAAGAGAGTCCTTTTTAGTGCTAGTAGACACTAAAATTCACAAATGATAGATGTAAGAGCAAAGAAAAAAAAATCCTCACATCCTTTCAACAGATAGCAAACCATGTCAAGTTTTGAAAGACAACCTTCAGGTCTTAAAAGTGCTGGCAGGACTGAACTAGACTGAAAGCATCAATGTTTGGTCCCAATAGTGTTTTTTAAATAAAACCAGGAACTTCAGGGAATTCCAAAATAAGTTTCACTCCAAACTTACTTAGCATGTAAGTGTTTGGAGGCTTGAAAGGCACTGCGTACATCTGCTGTAGCTACTTCCCAGGTGATCAGGAACAAGAGAGCTGAAAATTCCCCCCAATTAGAATCTTTCCTGCATAAGAGAAGGAAGCTGAACTTCTGACAACTTATTCAAATCAAAGGTTCCAACCTTTAGTATCACAAGAAACATTAGTGAAAACTCTAAACTCTTTGAACTCTAATGTCTATTCAGCTGCCATTATTCAATCTGTGCATAGTTCCTATATTTCAAATCTGGTGTTATGCTGAAATGGTTAACCAAGCCATTGACTCTTATAAGGAAGTTAAGTACAAGTATGCAAGCAAGGAAAACAAAACAAAAACACTCAGCAGTCTGTGGCTCTGTCCAATTTATTCCTTTCCTTCCTCTAGAGCTTTCCTAAGATCCATTCTCTTTTTGAAAAATCATCATCCATTCAACCTCTTTTCTGGCCTGATTGATATTTGAATGAAAAAATAACATCCAAACAACCCACAAGTCATCCCATGCTACTTAATGTGAAGAAACGAAATGAGTATTTCACAGAAATAAGACGGTTTGTGGTTTTACTATTAAAGAAAACAGAGCACTTAAAATTAGCAGCATTGTACAAATAACTTGAGTTTTGGTTAGTACCTTCAACAACTCCTTGGTCCACACCTAAGCTTTTTTCATCTGAATGACTTTGATGGTGATTTTACTTCCACTAACATGCACAAGTAACAAAAAGTGACCAGTCTAAAGTCCGAATCCACAGTGAAATACAGCACACCCAGATTCTCCATGCAAAGCCAACAGCTTCAGTCTGAGCCAATTGTTGTGAAGTTTTTAGTGCAAGTTTGGATTTTACATGAAAATCTGTTAACAGAATACCTTTCTAGAATGGACAGCAGGGGAAGCAGAGCCAACAGATGTTGAAGAGGAAGTAGCAGCTGAATCGTAAGATGGAGGGCAAGAGGGAGTTGGGGGTTGAGAATGGGAGAGGCCTTTAGTAGGTAGTTTATTCTGTACAGAGCAGAAATAGAGGGAAGTTATCCAAAAGGACAATCACATTAATACATGTTAAGATGATGAAACTGCACAACCATGCACCAAAGAGTTAGGCAGGGAGTCACTGCACAATTTGGCTCCAGCTTCAAAATAAAAACGGTCTTACAGTTTCTATTCTTACAAGATGATTCTTCATTAAGGTATACATTATTCAGCTACTGAAAACAAGTTTGAATCCTGAAAATAACAAACAGTCCCCAGACAATAGTCTGTGGCAACTCTTAAAAGGGAAAGCCCTCACTTCACAGGTTAACCTGCTCAAAGGGTGAATTTTGCCATTACTTAGATTTCTCTTCAGTACAATGTGTCATCAAATTCAGTCTATTAACTATTCCAGGGAAGACGGAAGTATAGTTTCAATTTCAAAATGGTATACCATGCACAGACAGAACATTTATAATTAGGGGCCTACAGAAATGGGGACGGCTGCCCAATTTCATGGCCCAAGCATGGCACTGGTTGCCATTTTCATGGCAGAGTGTGGCAGGGCCCCCCCCAAACCTCTGATTGGTTGAGGGGCCCCAGAAGTCCCACCCCTCCCCAGGGACTGACAGAAGGCCATCTGTCAATCTCTGGGAAGGGGCAGAACTGCCAGAACCCCTCAGCCAATCAGAAGTGTGGAGAGCCTGTTGTACTCTGCCACAAAAATCTCCCTTGTCCATGTGCTTCAGGGAGCCAGGGCTTCCCACTGTTTTCCACTTGCAGTTCTTTCCTGCCCACTCCTTCCCCCCCACCCCCAGCTTGCTGGCTGTTTTTGCACTTCTTCATGGTTCATGGGGACTGGGCTTTTTTGCAGGGGACCTACTTATCCCATGGTTTCCATGGAAACTGTGAAATTGCCATTTTGGTAGCTCTCTATTTATGCTCTACATTTCATTGAATCATAGAAAATTAGGATTGGAAGGGACCTCAGGAGGTCATGTAGTCCAGCCCCCACTCTTTTGTCCAATTTCTAGTCCAATTTCCACCATTACAATAAGTAAAAGAGTTATATCACTGAAGTCTGAACTTAAAATTTGTTTTGTACCATACTGGAAATTTTTTTAAGTGGACAAGATGAACTTTAAGAAACAATTTTAGTTTTGTGAATTTAACATTTAATCAACGAGTAATTATGAACTAGTAGCTCCAAGGGCTGAAATATTGAGGTCAGTAAAAGCAACTGACTGAATGTGGCTCAACTGCTTCCAGCATACAAGAAAGTTTGCTTGCAAGTAACTTAGACATCTCTACACTGTACTGCATTGTAGCCATTTTGGTCAATCGCAGCTGCTGTAACAAAGAAAAACCTGGCTTGCGAAACATCACCAAGTAAGGTAGTAAGCTTGATTTCAGAAGTAAATGTACATATTTAAAACAGTGTTAGCCAAACTGAATGTATTTACAGCAAGTACATTTCAGTGTGCTGAACTTAAGCTCAGGGAAAACAAAATGGGTCTGCTGAGCCAAACAGACAGACAGCATCATTGTCTTCCAGTGGATTAGACAGAGTCAGTTTCTCTCCACTAATTTCCAACTCTCCAGGTGCGTACACACATACTAAAGTTGGCTTAAAATAAGGCAACTTGACTTAAATTAAGCCACATGTGAGCATACACACGTACAACTCCTTGACATAGTGGCAGCCATCTTTTGAACTAAGTCAACTTTAACACAACTCAAGGTAATACACCTTGGAGGTGGTTGTGCACCACAATTAAGTCATATAAATGTGTATGCTCTCACCGTTAAGTTGACTTTAAAAGTTAAGTTGGCTTAACTATCAGAAAGGTAGTATGTGTGCATGTACTCTCCTTTAGCTCCTTAATTTCAAAGGAAAACATTTTACAATTGAACTCCTGACCACATTGGAAAAATACTCAGATATTTCCAAAGATTTTCAATATGTACTTACTTTGGGGGAAGTCTATATATATTTCCCTACCAAGAAAATATTGACCCTGTATCATCTCTGTCAGCAAAAACCTTTGCAATACCAAATCTGCAACAGGATAACATGAAATTTTTACATCGGAGATCTATCTGTACCTCTGTATTGAAAGGGGCCAGGAAAATTATCATTGCAATCAGAATATTGTTTGATAGCTATTTGATCAGAAACCATAACCATGGGTAGAAACAGAAGCTGTATAAAAGTAAGATGCATTGAATGCTGAACAAACCAATTATCTGCTTAAATGCTACACTTCCAATTCCTTTCTATTTCTAAAGCAACCAGTGCACTTGAGTTCTTAAAGTTCTTTTCAAGCATATTTCAAGGTATGCTTAAATTTAAACAGACTTAAAATGTGAGATTTCATTTCCAACTGGTTTAGATATATACAGGATGAAAAGAACAAGTATAACGAAGTATATCTGATCTCATCTCAGTCAGTGTTTCTTCAGCTGCATATTCACCTTTGGTATGTCCACGTATCCAAACATTGAGGCGAGGTGAGCTGCTTTCTCTTTAATGTTCTTTTTATGAAATTCCCTATTTGCTATGGCCTGAGCTCTCTTCTGTAGTAAGAGTCAAGAAAAAAAAAAAAAAAAGAGAAGAGTGAGAGACAGATTTGAGTTAGTAATACAAGAAAAGGCAGAAGTACAGTATATATAGGGAAAGGCAATGTTTTTTTTCTTTACTACAGAAACCGTAGTTAAGATGGAAAAGCTGAGGAACATAGGGAAAAAAAAGAGCACACATAGTATTACCAGAATAAAAGCATAGCTTAAACAGAAAAAGGGTAAAAGATATTACTTGTCACCTGATGAATTGTTTCCTCCACATGCTGAAGGCGCTGAAGCACTCCAGACAGTACAGAGGCAGCAAGACAGCCAGATGCAAGGGTTTCTGAGTTTCCTGAAAGACTGGACTGCCTGTGTGCTTTTTCTGTGCTTTGTGATCCCTTGGCCATATGATCAGAATCACGAAAAGGTTGTTTTGGTTCTCGTACCTCATGTTCAGTCCTAGCTACCGCCTGAAACTGGGAAACACTTCAAATGAAGAAAGCCTGCTTTCTATACCATCATGCAATACATGCTTCTTCCAAGAGTGCCTCTATAACAGTATGCCACAGCTAGACACCTAGCAAGGCACTTAATGTATTGCAGTATTCTCTAATGTCTTGGAACACTGGACATATTACAACATACTCATGCATATGTTCATGCACTGCATTATACTAGTACTGTACAACACATGCAGGTCATTGTAACCTGAGGTCGAGCCACCTTCTGATCCTTAGGCATAATTCAACTGATACTACTTGGAGAAGAATAAACATTCTGAACCATTGTGTATTCTGCAGCACTATTCCTGCATTACACTGCTAGGTATTTTTATACATCCTACATCAAAAGTGTACCATTTATTTGGCATAGTTCTACTGGTAATCTCTCCCAAATTTATACAAATGCATTGTGAATATTGTGAGCAAAAGATTTTTTTTTTTGGGGGGGGGGGGGGGGGGGGCGGCGGTAGTAAAACAGC